GGCGAGGTGTTATCACAGTATAGCTTGGTTGGTTCTGTCTGAGAGCAGCCTAGTTCATTCAAGAGTTGCCTTAACCATATAATTTTTGTAGTAACTGAAGCAATAGCCCGATATTCAGCTTCTGTTGATGAATGGGCTATAGTTGTCTGCTTTTTGACACTCCATGACACAAGTGATGTGCCCAAAAAATTGCAAAATCCTGTAATTGATTTGCGGTCTGTATGATCCCCGGCCCAATCTGAGTCAACATAAGATTTGAGCACTAGGGAGTCTCCGGTGATCGGTAGTCCATGCTGTGTAGTTCCCTGAAGATAACGAAGTATTCGTTTAAGTGCTTCAAAGTCGCTAACCGTCGGTTGATGCATTTGTTGACATGCCCGATTTACAGCATATGATAAGTCTGGGCGTGTTATTGTCAAATACTGTAATGCTCCAACAATTTGGCGGTATAGCTTTGGATTGCTGAATTTTTCAAATGAGTTTTCGGTTACAGCTTTGGAAGCAGTTGGTGTGGATACAGGCTTACTGTTCATCATTCCTGCCCGACTCAGAATTTCTTCGGCATACCTGGTTTGCTGGAGTAGTAGTCCCGTTGATGTAGGAAGCACCGTGATGCCTAAAAACTGATTTATGTTCCCCAGCATTCTCATTTTGAATTTATGAGTGAGCTGTTCAAGTAGATGAGTAATGGTAGAAGAGTTACTACCGGTTACTATGATATCATCAACGTATATTAGAACATAAACTTTTGAGTCTCCTTTCTGATACATTAGTAGCGAAGGATCGGAATGGCTTGAAACAAATTCCAGCTTATGTAGAAAGCCTGTGAGCATTTCAAACCACTGACGTGGAGCCTGTTTTAAGCCATACAAGGCTTTGTTTAGCTTGCAAACATGTGTTGGGTAGTGTGTATCAACAAACCTGATTGGTTGCTTCATGTAGACGGTTTCTAGAAGCCTCCCATGTAGAAATGCATTTGATACATCTAATTGATGTATTGGCCAGTGATGATGCAATGCCAGAACTAGTAATACGCGGATCATCGTGATCTTAGCTACAGGACTGAAAGTCTCAACATAATCGATTCCGAATTCTTGATTGTATCCCAGTGCTACTAATCTTGCTTTATGTCTTGCCAGAGTGCCATCAGAGTGATACTTAGTTTTGTAAGTCCACTTACATCCGAGTACGTTTTGATTGGTTGGTGGAGGCACTAACGTCCATGTGCCTTGAGATTGAAGCGCCTGAAATTCTTGGGACATGGCTGTCCGCCAGCATTCATGCTTGGAAGCTTGCTTGTACGAGATAGGATCGGTATTTGTGAGCTGATGGTTGAGATCAAATACTGGCTTTGGCTTTAGATTTCCTGTTTGCAGCCTTGTTTTCATCGGATGGGCCTTAACATTGTTGACTGGAGAGTTACCAGCGTGTGAGGCAGGCGAGATCATAGGCAGAGACACTGGTGAGTTGTTTTCGGTGTGAGTAGTGGCTGAACGATGATTAGGTTGTTGTTGAGGGATAACAGGAGTGAATGAAGATGTATTGGTTTGTGATGTTAGTGTAGAAGTGGGAACTAAGAGAAGTGGTGGCACAGAGATTTTTAAGTGATTTGTATTTCGGGAATTTGTAGTGGGAAGTTGGTTTTGAAATGGAAATTTGGTTTCATTGAATACGACATGTCTTGAAGTGAATATGCGTTGAGTGAGGACATCAAAACAGCGATATCCTTTTTGATTTGAAGCATATCCTATAAAGACACATGGAGTAGATAATGGTGAGAGTTTTGATTTAGAGTAGGGTTTTAACCAAGGAAAGCAGAGACACCCAAAAGCTTTTAGATGAGCATATGACGGTGGTTTTTGATAGAGGACTTCGAAAGGAGTTTTGAATTGAAGTGTTACAGTAGGAATTCGGTTTATAAGATAAACCGCTGTGTGTAAAGCTTCAATCCATAATGTATGAGGTGCATTGGAGTGAATTAGTAGGCTTCGGACAGTTTCTAGGAGATGACGGTTTTTCCGCTCAGCTACGCCATTCTGAGCTGGTGTATAGGGACAGGTATATTGGTGAACAATTCCGACTGTTTTACAGTAGGTTTTGAATTTGTTATTTAGGTATTCCCCACCACCATCTGTGCGAATTGTGCAGATGTTGGTGTTGAATTGACATTTGACAAAGTTGTGGAATTGTACGAATATTTGAAAGACTTCGGATTTGTAAGCAAGAGGAAAAACCCAACAGTATCGTGAGTAGTCGTCAATAAAGATGACAAAATACCGAGAGCCTTGTATTGATGTAGTGTAAGACGGACCCCACACATCAGAATGTACAAGCTCAAACAGTCTATTTGTAAACGAAACCGAAGTAGGAAAAGACAGTTGCTTGCTTTTAGCAAGGTTACAAGTAGTGCAGGAGTTATTAGAAGACATGGTATGTATTGTAGGAATTATTGCAGACAAACGTTTGAGAGTAGCACTGGCTGGATGTCCAAGCCTTAGATGCCATAAGTCCGGTACAGTTTGGATGGATAGAAGAGCAAGATCAGGTGGTTTTGTTGATCGAATCGAATAAAGTCCGTTATGGCAAGGACCTTGTAGGATAACCCGATTGCTCTTCGTATCCTTGATTTGATAGCCAGTGGGCGAGAAAGAGACAACACAGTCATTGTCACGGGTTAGTTGATGAACGGATAACAGATTGAACGAGAGATTTTGTACATGATGAATGTTTTTGAGGATTAGAATACCTGATGGTGTTGGAAGAACGCCTTTGCCCGTATGCTGAATTGGCACTTGGTGGCCATTCCCCAGTACAACTTGAGAAGATCCCATGTATGGTTCAGCGGCTGTCATATGCGTTGTATCAGCGGTAAGATGTGTAGACGCTCCACTGTCTAGGTACCAATCGGTGTTGTTTTGTGACTCGGATGAACTGAACAGCGCGGTCTTTTGTGAATCTTCATTATATGAAAAATCCGCACGATACCAGCATTTTATTGCTGAATGCCCTGTTTTCATACAGATTTGACATACTGTCTTTGCCGGAGGGCGATCAGACTGCGGCTGTGAAGATCGCTGTCCACGACCTCTTCGTCCACGATCTGTGTTGTTACGACCGCGACCACGTCCACGGCCCCGGTAAGCTGCGAGCGCCATGGTTGGATCTGTTATTTGTAAATTTTGAAGTTCTTTGGTCGTGTCTTGAGCCATACTCTGTTCTTCTGTGCATAACAGGCTGTACAAGTCGTCAAGAGTGATGGGTTGCAGATTTGTTCTGAGAGCTGTCTTGAATGACTGGTAAGACGCAGGAAGACCGTTTAACGTGTGGAGAATAACATCTTCCGTTTCGATCTTGCTTCCTGCAGCGGCTATCGAATCTACTTTGGACTTTATATCAAGTAAGTATGCGACCATTGATTTGTCGCCTTTGACAACATGATGAAGTTCATTCTTCAACTGGAGCACACGAGATCTTGTTGTTGATTGCAGACGCAATTGTAACGTAGCCCAGATTTCTGCAGTATGCGTTAACGAGAGTACATACGGGAGAATGGTTGGTGAAATTACCGAATATAGCGCAACAGCTAGGTTTTGATCGATCAAATCCCATTGTGCCTGAGCTAGACAGTCCCTGAAGGAAGAAGATTGATCGGACGCGTTCGGAGCAGGAACCGAACCATCCAAGAACCCTTTAAATCCGTTTGCGCAGAAGATCTTGAGTACCTGAGATTTCCAGATCGGGTAGTTCGTCTCTATGAGCGGACTAGGAACCAGGTTCTTGATGTGACTCATCAAGAACTTGAGCTGAGGGGAGAAGCTGAGTTGCGGAGTCGTTGACGTCGAATCCACCGTAGGAGGAGAGGTGGACGAATCCGCCATTGAGGATCAGTCGAGAAACGGAGAAATCAAGAACGAGAAAAAAAAACTCGTTCTCAGAGACAGAGCTCTGATACCATGATAAACTGTTTAGGTTGTTAAACCAACAGTTAAGGTGAAACAGTAAATGAGCATTAATGGAAGTTTTCATTATCTCAAGCGTGATTACATCATCCCTATTTATAGGGGTTTAAGTACAGGTTTAACCTCTCTAACTACACTACACGTGTACATTGGTTATTGGTAGTTGTACTTTCTTGATTTTTGGATGCTTCTAGATTCTTGTTGTCTAATACAAATATCAACAGCTTGCGTGTTTAATAAGATCAGCTTGACAAATGCATCGTTGAACTAAAAAAAGTTTAGACAAAGATCAAACTATTTTTAAATAACCTAACGCTGCATCATCATTCCAATTGTCTTCCCCACAAACGGTCACCTTTAATAATAAAGCAGAAATAGAAAGCTTTGCATTCACGACATTCAAAAAGAAAAATGCAAACGTAACCACTCAAATTACAGCTACAATCCACCAACCGCATGACAAAGTCAAAAAAAGAGATTCTTCTATCTTAAAGCGATCAAACTTTCAATAATACAATGATTCATGATGCCCCATCAAAGAAAGTTGCCATCCCTTTCAAAAATACTGTTTTGTGTTTTTTATTAGGAAAATATCTCAGAATTATTAAATTTAGTTTTATCAATTATACTTTATATTCACTTCTATCAAAATAAATTCAATGATTTTTAGATCCATCATAACAAAATATTTGATTAAAATATCTTAATCAAAATCTGATCATGAAAATCTCAAAATTGGCTTTGTTTGGGATAATTTTTTGCCCCTACTTTTTCGCTGCTTTAAAAAAAATTATAATATAAAGCTGCCAAAGAAATAAGAAAATTGTCCCCAATGAAGCCTTACTTTGAGATGAGTATCATTCATAAAGAATCAATCAAAATTACCAATTTAATCCAATTATTTTAAAACTAATTTGAATCAAAAGGAGGGATTCACTCTCAAAACCAAGAAAGCAACTTAAAAGATCTTCATCAAACTAAGCAAACAGACATTCAACTACATAAAAACTTTTAAGAAACAAACATTCCCACCTTGTTTTATGACTAATAAACCAAATAAGCACCATTCATCACCTATATGCAAAAGTTAATTCATGAAAATAGTTTCCACATAACAAGCAAATCCAAACTGCTATCTCATACAGAAGATGAGAACAAGCTAAAGCATCAACAATAATACAATACTAGTGATATATCCTACTCAAAAGTTTTAAAATTTACAAAGAAACACAAGTGATCTATTTCCTTCTACGCGTTCCCTCCCTTCCATCCTTGGAAATTGTTTCGCCTATTGTTCCTGAAGGCACAGCAACCAATAGAGTAGACTATCACCAGAAAGATGAGGAAGACTATATTCACAATAGCCACCTTTTTCCAGTCATTCTTGAGGTTGGCAAGAACACCAGCTTTACAGGACTGACAATCATAGCATAAAATAGATGGGTCATTCTGCCAAGTGTTACAGTCAGTGATAGAGGAGTTCGTGAAGCCTTGGGGCTTATTCCACGCAGTTTCGTTTACAAAAGTGAAGTTACAAGCAGTGGGAGGCGTACAGCAACCAGACTGGATAAACAAAATTATATTCCATTAAGCATTGTACAGTATAAATGATAGGGTGGTTGAAACATTGAAATTGAATATCTGCATTGTGACATTTGAAGAAAACATACAGAGAAGTAGAAAAATGACATGGTATAGCAGAGAGGAAGAGAAGACGAGAATTGAATGGAAATTTTCTCTTCCTCTCTATTGGTATGCCACTTGGCATTTACTTAAGAAACCAATAGAACTTTTCAAACCAAAACTTAAGATAAAGATCTAGAGTTCTAAATTGATGTGGAAACCGAATATTTTATAAAAAGAGAGAGTTGACTAATCCCTTTTTAAGGGTGTAATTATTGTTCAAAGCTTATTATGGCACCTTTTTTTTTCATAAGCTGATTATGGCACCTTAACACTTCATAGCAAAGAGATTTTTAACAAATTCAAACTCAGGGACATGTTTTTTATCAGTCCAGAAAAAAACAGTAATTGCAAGTGATTTCCAAGGAAATAATAATATTTAATGAACGTTATTTGTAAAACTGAATGATTCTTTAAGTAATATGAGAGTTAAAATGATAAATTTCGTATAAGAAAGCTAAAAACTATAACAACAAAAATAACATAAGAGAAAATACTGAAATCAATGAAGCCAAAATGGAAAACCAAGATGAGATATCACTGCAATAGTTTTCCCTAGGCCAGATTAGTATGAGGGTTTAATTGGGCTTCCATTAAGTAATGCCTTTTAAACAGTAATGTCGAAACCATAACATTCCCAAACATCTTCTAAACAGAGAATGCTAGTCTAAATATGCAGAACAATAACAATGCCAAATATATCTTTAGAATGATCAAATCATCTTATACCATAAAAGTGTAATGATTTTTATGTGCAAGACATGCAAGAAAAATTTAAGAATCATTCTTCATAGTTTTGTGGACTTAAGATAATATTACCTTAATGGACTAAAAAGGGAAGATAACAAAGGGAATTAAGCCAAATATTTAAGAGTAATGCTAATGGGTTTTATGTATTCTTGTTCATTGGTGATAAGTAAAACTATTCCATACATACTGATGTGATGCATAAGAATTGAGAAAAACCAATTGTATGACTAGTTTTGTTTAGGAAGTATAATCAATAATTAATAACCTTGTGGACATCAAAACACAGAACAAACAAGTTGAAAAGAAACAAATTGCACTTTGCTGTTCATTTTTTCACACACACACAGTCACTCTCTCTCTCTCTCTAAAAAGAAAAAAGAGGCCTATAGAGGTATATACAAGTGATTCTAAGCTTTCGGTTGTCACTGCCAGCCCGTGCTTAAATGCACTAACCTGCTTATTTCTAACAATTGCACTTCAATGCTCTGCTATCCATCCAAAAACAAATATAAATAAAAGTTGAGAAGGTTAGCATTCATTGATAGAAATAATTATCCGCCAAGAAACCCTTAACAACTCTTAAAGTCAATTTGCTATGATTGCACAGTATCAGAAACTCACAGCAGTTTAAAACTGAGACTGAGAAACGCCACTCCATGCTTGTACACGACACTAAATCACAAGCGAATGGGATGATATTACAGATAAAGTCATTTATAGGAAACTGGGATCAAAAGTGTTAAACATTCTTAGTATTCTTAAAAATCAGAAATAAAAAGAGAAACCTTCTCTATGAAGATCAACTTCAATTATATTAAACCATCAACAAAATTAAAATTATGCTAAAACCATCTAAACTAAATTGTATAATAAAGAACGACAACAAAATGAAGAACCGAAAGATTTAATAAAAACTATGCAGGGATCAAAAAGTTGTCGAAAGTGGAGCAGTTACAACTGAAAAAGAACCATAACGGAGTTTTAGTACAAAATTTTTTATTTTTGTATAAAAAAGCCGTCCCAAAGGCAAGCCTAAATCACAAGCGAATGGGATGATATTACAGATAAAGTCATTTATAGGAAACTGGCATCAGAAGTGTTAAACATTCTTAGTATTCTTAAAAATCAGAAATACACAGAGAAACCTTCTCTATGAAGATCAACTTCAATTATATTAAACCATCAACAAAATTAAAATTATGCTAAAACCATCTAAACTAAATTGTATCATAAAGAACGACAACAAAATGAAGAGCCGGAAGATTTAATAAAAACTATGCAGGGATCAAAAAGTTGTCGAAAGTGGAGCAGTTACAACGGAAAAAGAACCATTTATCCACAAAGAAAAAAAAGATCTTGAACACTAATTACAGAAGTTCAAATACTAAACAAATAAACACAAACGAAAGCACAACCGGTAACATGTAAGTCAACTAATAAAGAAAAAAGTTAAGAAAAAGAAAATTTTACCAAGGAATCATAACAATTTCCAAGAAAAAAGATAAAAAAAGAAGACAAAAAGTAAAAGGAAGACCCAATCAAATTAAACTTGCAGATGACCAAAAACACAAATCCCCTCACCCAAACAGTATTACTGTAAGCTGTAAGATCTCAAACTTGTAACAAAAAGTACCTTCATCAGTTAAAAATAAATCAAGGACTTAAAATAGTTCTGTAAGATTGAAAGAACGTGAGGAAGATTTGAAGATCGGCATACCTGAAGGGGGGTAAGGTTATCATTAACAAATTGATCAAACGTCTGGTTCTTCTCGCTTAAACTGTTGCAGACTTTGCTATCACGAATACAACTCCGAATCTTAGCCCAGTTCCCCTCGTTTAATACCCGTTTCTGTAGCCAATTAGAGTAATCACCGAGTCGATACTCCTTATACCCGCGACCAGAGACGACCTCGCCTGCACCCTTGTTGGTTACAACAAAGGCGAAAATAGTGAAGCAGAAAACAAGCAAGATGAGAGCAAACATGACAAAAAGGTAAATCCAGAGAAGCCACGAAACACTGCAACAAGCGCCGATGAGGCCTGCGAGGGAGACGACCAAAAGAAAAACTCCAAGGGCGATCAAAGGCCGTTCCAGAAACTTCTCACAGTCGGTGCTCGCGCGTGTGCTGAGCCAGATTCCCGCCCCAAGGATCGGGATCGAGAGGAGAAATGTGAGGAAGTTGAGAATGCCGATTAGGTTATTGCTGAACCGCACCATCTTCGTGACAAAATTTGAAACTTGGGAACGGACAACTGAAACTTAGGAGACGGATTGATGATGGAAGAGATTGTGGGGAGTAAAGAAAGAGAGGAGTGGGAAGGATTTATACCGTAAAGGTTAAATCTGAAAGGAAGGAACTGAGAAAAGAGAAGGGATTGGGGAAAAAGATCGAAGGGTTTTTGCGGTTACTGAAAGGATAGAGACGCTAACACGTTTTTTTCATTTATGGTCTGTGTGCTCTTCATATGACCACTTGTCAGCAGTGTATTAAGCACTTAACGCGTAAAACTAATTCTATTACAATAAAATAAATACCTATTACAAAAAGGGTAAAAAAAGCAAGAGATATAAAATATATACAATTAAATTATTACTAAAAAGGTAAAAAAAGAAAATGAATTTAAAAAATTAGGTTTTGATGGGAACATTTTTTTTTAACAAGAACAATACTATCAAGCCTTTATCTCACTACGTGGGGTTCACTAATGTTGCGGGCTAGAATATACGCGGCGGTAGAGTTAGAAAATTTTCGTCTGAGTATTGTACGAATATCTAGCACACACAAAAAGAAGATAAAAGAACACCATATTTTTTACGTGGAAAATCCTAAAAAGAAAAAAAATCATGGGGCCACGCCCAGTTGAAAAGTTCCACTATTGTAGTTTGAGATAAAAGAGATTGATTTGTCCAACAAGTTAGGACGATCAGATTACAATGAGTTTCTTCTGAATTGAAATTCAGTTACAAAGTCGAGCAGAGTTCAGGCGTCACTCGAGCGTCCGGCGGGATTCTGGCGTCGTTCTGACGATGGGAAGAACTCCGGCGGTGGTCGAGGAGGAGTTGTTCTCTCCTCTCCTTCTCTTCTCTTCTTCTCTTCTTCTTCTCTTCTTCTCTTCTTCTTCTCTTCATCTTGCTTGGGTTCTCTCCTCATGAGAAATGAGGGCTCTATTTATAGTTTTTTTGGAGTGGCATAGCTCGTAAAAAGGTGTGAGATCAGGGGCAAATAGGGAGTGGCCAAATGGACGGCTGATATTGAATCCTTCGATCATGCAGCGTTCGTTGGACATTTGAAGGCCTTAGTGATGTCAGAATACAGTAATCTTGGGCTCGTTGGATTTGTCTCATCGAGCCGTTCGATTCGACTATAAGCTCGTTAAAATTGGAGATCGTTTAGTAACTCAAATTGTGGTATGAGCTTTCCAACAGCACTTCGGGCGCTTGATTTGGGCTCATTCGGGCTCGAATTGAGTTGAATTTGGTGTCGTTGTGTTTGTATTTCCGAGAACGCTCAGTTTGACTATAAGCTCGCTAAAATCGGAGTTCAGATGCTCCCGAATTTAATTTTTGAAGTTTCCGGTTCGATTTTGCCTTGAGATTCGTGCTTGATCACAACAATTTTTGGAGAATATATCAACTACATAAATTTTTTTCTCATTATGTCATGCTAAAATTAAAATTTTCCTTTAAATATCATAAAAAAAGACCATTTTTGCTATTTTTTTCTTTTTTTTGCATTGAGAAAATTAGTCAAAATAATATACGTTAAAATTATGATTTTTATACAACATTTTTTAAAATTTATTATTAAAAAGTTATTTTTGAAAAATATATTTAAAATTATAGTTAATATATGATCTTTTAAATTTCTTATTATGTCATGTTAAAATTAAAATTATCATTTAAATATAATAAAGAATGACCATTTTTGCTATTTTTTCTTTTTTTTTGCATTGAGAAAATTAGTAAAAATAATATACATTAAAATTATGATTTTTATGCAAAGTTTTTAAAATTTTATTATTAAAAAGTTATTTTGAAAAATATATTTAAAATTAAGTTAATATATGATCTTTTAAAAACATAAGCAGAAAAATATAAATTATCTCAAACAAAATATTAGTATAAAAAATTTAATGTAAGCATCATTGAGGACAATAAGAGATGTTAATTTGAATGCAAGAGATGGGCTGAGTTAAATATAGAGAATTCCGTGTGACACTCGCACATCATCAGCGTCATAATATTCAAAACTCAAACTATCGTAGCCCTAAGAGAAAGCCCACTTATCAAATCAGAGCAACACATTGAAGGATTTGGAAATTGCTAGAAGCACAACCACCAACTAAGAAGTTTATAACAATAACAATATCAAGTCTTTATCCTATTATGAGGGTCGCCGCTATATGAATCTTTTTTCTCCATTGTGTCCTTAGCTTAGAATCTTCCATTAGGCCGATATTATTCTAAAAGTAGAGTTCTCGTCTTTTGTCTAATCTATTGCTTTGATACCATTTATAACAGCTCAAATTTCAACAGATAGATTATTCTGTGCGGATTCCGGACGGCATCCGGAGATCAACCATAACGTTTTATGTCATTTTTTTGTCCAGTATCGCTTTGTACCGGGTAACTTGACGTGTTATGGTTAGTCTCCAGGCCATTCGGTGTACGCACAGAATGATTTCTCGAAAAGGGGCATTTAAAAAATAGATGGCGATGAGATTAACGAGATAGTTTACAAATATTATAGCCTCTATCCATGTTGATGTCTCTAGAGATATGATTGTTCACTATTTTTAAGCCTCTTTGAATAAGTCAATCAGGTTTCGTTTGGATAATTTTTTTATTGCCTTTTAAAACAAATTTTTAGCACAAAAAATTCTATTTCAAAATATTTTCTTACTTAAAAATTGTTTAGAAAGCAACAAAACAGCTGTCCCAAACGTCCATGATAATCCAGGTTTAGCACACTGAAGAAGAGGACGAATTATTACGTCCGGTGATCGGACTGTCCGGATACAAATCCAAATGCGTCACATCACCCGGATACACTAGGCCCCAGATGTATCTGGATGACGTGGCGCATCTGAATTTTTATCCAGACGTATCCGAACATCGGACATAATAATTTTTCAGCTTTCTTCGCATTTTCAAAGGGGAAGCTAAGCCCACATGAGAGCTTATCAGGTCCCCCATTATTGCTTATGCCATAATAAATAAAAATATCACATTGAAGAAGACGTTTCACTGAAGAGGCGCCTGAGCGTCCGGAGCGGAGCCGGCCGGGCCAACCAACCTGGCTTAGTTTAGGATATTCCATTATTTTTTTATCCCTGAAATTATTTTTTGACATTCTTGATACAATTTTAATAACTATGGATCCAAACAAATCTCTACCATCAAATTCGAGCAAATTTGAAGAATTCAAAGCATAATTTTTAACTATTTGTGCTTCAATCCAAGCATTGACTTTATGAAAAGCTGAAATTATAATTAAGGATATTTTATTTCTTTCTAAGCTTTATAAGAAGATTTATGTTGACTTCTAGAAAGTGATCATGCCGTATATATTTTTTTTTAAATTATAAATTTATGCCATGAAGCTTTTTGACAAATTAAAATTAATATGTCATCAAAAAATTATATTGATCAAGCACAAATCTCAAGGTAAAAATCGATTTGGAAACTTCAAAAATTAAGTTGGAGACCATATGAACTTCGATTTCAGCAAACTTATAGTCAAACTGAACGTCTTGGAAATACGAACCCAGCGAAACTAAATTCAATTCAATCCGAGCCTAAACGAGCCCAAATCAAAGACCCGAAGCGCATTTGGAATGTTCAATCCATAATTTGGATTACCAAACAACTTCCAAATATGTCGTGCTTATAGTTGAATCGAGTGGCTCGACGAGACAAACCCAACGAGCCGGAGATCACCAAATTTTGATATCAATAAGACATTCAAATGCTCAATAAACGGACCACGATTAAGGGATTCAACATTGGTCGTCCAATCAAATCACTCCTAATTTACTCTTGATCTTCCTCCTATTTATTGAACATGTCACTCTCAAAAAATTATAAATAGGCCCTTCATTTCTCATGAGAGGGGACCCCAAGCAAGAAGAGAAGAGAAGAGAAGAAGAGGAGAAAAAAAGAAATAAAAGGAAGAGACTCCTTCTCAACCAACACCGGACTTCCACTCGGCAGTTGACCGACGCCGGAGTTCTACCCGATTGCCAACTGATGCCGGAATTAAGCAAGGAAGCAAGAAGAGAAGGAAGAGACTCCTCCTCGACCACCACCGTACTTCCACCATACTACCGACTAACGCCGAAATGACAGCCGACTGACGCCGGATTTCTGCCTGATAGTTAATTGAAGCAGGATTTCCGCATGAACACCAGAACGTCGCCGGATTTTCGATCTCATTTGTAAGTGAATTTCATCCTGGGAGTTGATTATTGTAATCTGATCATCCTCGATTTCAAGGACAAGTTAGCCACTTGTAATCTAAGCAAACACTAGTGAAATCCTTCAAACTAAGCGTGGCCCCTATGATTTTTTCTCTTTTCCAGGGTTTCCACATAAACGTTATGGTGTTTCATTTTATTATGTTTGTGTACTAGATATCCGTACAAGGCTAAAACGAAAACTTTTCAAACTCGATTGCCGCGTATATTCTAGTCCGGAAGAAAAATATATTTTCAAACGACACAAAGTTTGATATATAAAAATAAAGGAAAGATAATACATCTGGAAATAGTTCACATGCACAAGATAAACCTCAAGGAAATATTTGATTAGGAATCTTTCAAAATTAAATATAGGATCATCTGAACTCTAATTTCAACAAACTTATTGTCGAACTGAATTTTGCAATGGGATGAATCCATCGATACTGCAAGTGTTCCGATCTAATTTCAAATTAGTTGAAATCAAGTATTTGAATCATACTTGGAGGTTTTGAGACATTTAAAAAAGGACCGCATGATCTCCAAACCTAATGTGCTTATAGTTAAATCAATCGACTAGGCAAGACGTATTAAGGATCCTAAAATCATTCGATTCTAGCATAAAAAAACCATTTAAATATTAAATAAATGATATACAATCAAGGGGATCAATATTGATGGTTTGGTGGAGCATTTTGGATTCAAACCAAATTTATTAAAATGCCAATCTCCAAAAGGCTATAAATAGAGGATCTCATTTTTATAGGTAGGGAGGTTCAAGAGTTGAAAGAGCTAAATATCTTTATTATAATTTCCAGCGATAACCGTCGACAACCACCACTACAAAAAAGTTAATGCCTTCATGGCATTTTATAGCAGTGGTTTTAAATAGACCGCTATAGTTAGATATAAATAGTGGTTAAATTTACCGTTTAAAAGTTGAAGGAACCTTCAGCATTTATCTTCATTATCGCC